GGGGGGGGGGGGGGGGGGGGGGGGGGGGGGGGGGGGGGGGGAGGAATTTGACTACGATATAGCATACGGATAAAAGCGTCGCGATGGGGAAAAACACAATGTTATAATTTATCATGGTTTTGTACTCTTAAAAAATAAGCTATGAATTATGTGCATGTGAATAATTAGGCGAATTTTTTTCTAATATTTTTATTTGGATGCATAAAATTTGGTTTAGTACTACCGAAATCCCCTTCACTGTTAGCCATCATCGCTTCATATCTTCGCTTATTCGAGAATTCCTGATTTTATTACCTCTCTAGTTTCCCGTAACTTACAGTTATTACGAAATAGCGCTACCTTATCAACAGGTTATCAATTAATTGTCACTCTGAAAGTTTAAAAATTTTTGCAGGAAACGATAGAAACAATGATAAAAAATAAAACTCAGTTAAATGCGAAAGTATTGCTAAGGAAGAAAAATTATGCAGTTGCAGTTGCTGAGTTGGAAAATGCGGCCTTTGTCGTTTGTATACCAACGCGGATGCATCCGAACATAAATCCACAGTATGAGGAAAAAAGTGAGTTATGTGAGTTTCATTTTCAGAGAATGTGCGAAAAGGAAAAAAATGGAGTTTTATCGTTTTGCATATTATATCTGAGTCTCTTCCAACAAATCGGGCTTCATCCGAATCGGATAAAGACATTTTAAAGGGATCTTTTGAGATTTTGCATAAAGCATCTGTAATTTACTCAGAAGGCCTAAAATTTTTAGAGGAAAAGAAAGTGAAATATGTTGCTTGTTTAAATGAAAACCAGTGGACATCAGCTGGGGCTCTGGGCTACTCCGAGAAGTGATGACGCATTTATTTTGGAACATATAGACCATATGTGAATGAATCTGATGCCCCATAACTGCAAGTCTAAAGCACCGGGTATTTTGATCCACATAAAGTATATCACTGCACATAGAGCCCCAGAAGGCTCTGATAATGCAGATGAATTTGATGAAATTTGCAAATTTAAGTTAAAACCCCCCTTTCCGTATTCTTTTCCTTATAAAGGAGTCACTCGCAAGTAGCCCGAATGATATCAAATGTCAGCAGCAACCACCCGCTGGCAAAGCTGTGCATGGCTTTCTTTTTCGAGAATTGCCTACAGGCAAGCTGATGGCGGGTTTGACTCTCTGATATGACATATACCAGTACCAATTTATTGTTGAAATGAGCGAACTAATTTTTGAGGATTTATTTGTCCCGGTGCAGATGATTATGCGAAAATCTGCAAAATTAAAGAAAGTTAACTTACAGTTCGGGAGATTGGTGATGTATGTGCCGTCACACCGAAACTCGTTTTTGAACGAGTCATAATTGGGGAAACAAAAAAGGCGAAGAAAGAGGAGGTATTTTCGAAGAAATTGATGAAGGTACGTACTTTTTTTAAGGAACTGAGGAAACCGAAAAATACGAGGATGAAATCCAAAAATCTTGTGATCCGTCTATTATTAACGTTGTTTTTTGAGATGTTCTGAAAATTTCTTTTGATTTAAGAAAATATAAAAAAGTAGAGAAAAAGCAGATTTTACATAAAATTTTTGTCATAAAAAATGGCATGGCTCGAAATGTTGCTGCAAAGGGCATTTTTTTGGGAACAAATGATGAAATCACTTTCATTTAGCACATTGCTGTTTTAGTCAAAACCACAGGAGATGATGACAGACATAAAATTGAAACCGTTTGGAATTTATCGTGCCAAAGTTATTGGAATGTGGCATCGGGGAGCAGATGAGTCGCCATGCGCAGTTGAATTGCAGTTTCCAGGAAAGAAAATTGGTAAAAGCTCTCGCATTCTGAAACACATCTTGTATTTGTATATGTTTTTAAAATGAATAAAAGTTGGATCCCATAAGGGGAGAGGGAGTGACCGGGGTGATTGGGGGAGAGGGGGACAGGGAAGAGGAGGAGGGGTTTTGTAACACATTGATTGATAGGACAAATTTCTTGAACCTGTACTTGATCTTTGAAGTTTGAGTTCTCGGTCTCTCGAAATTGACCCTTTTTTTTCTTAGTGAAAAAACTTCATGCATGAAATTCGGAGTATTAGCCTCATATCTGCTCATTTTTGAGGGCAGCTGGGAAATTTGTAGTACTGATGGCTATTCTTTTGAGTTATAGCAGCTTTGCGTACCTCTGAGGGGAAGGTGATAGGGTCGAAAAACAAGGATTTTCCCGTGTCTCTCATAGTGGTGGTATTTCAGGTCGTTTACACGCATGTGAATTTGATGAGCACTTTCTGGAAGAATCATCACAGCCAGCTCGAAACTTCCTGCAAAAATATGAAGGCAAAACAGTGACCGTTAAAGTCGTGTGCTTCACGAGGATAAAAGAAACGAGGACTACAAAGGTTCTTCCGACAACAACAGAAACCAAAAAAGAAGTGAAATCAACCGTGGTGCGTTCATTTTTTCCTAACGCCTGTCATTTTCTAGTGTTTTCTTTATG